CGTATAATCATGCGTATTTGCAGAATACATGGAGCAATCGAATCGTTAACTATATGAATGGTTCTTGCTTTACATTTACTTTGTGCACTCACTAGCGTAAATCATCGTAAATTTTGCACAAAAAAAAGTGAACAAATTTCGTTTAACGATCGCTTTTAGAAAATGAACTTGCTGACAGTGAGCAAAAATTTTCTCATCAAAAATTTCACGTGTCGGCATTTGAAACATAGGCTTTCCTGCGAACTGAATTTGTAGAATTGCAAATGAAATTTAATGGAAATATTTACTATTCGTATGAATGTTTTTAAGTGTAAAACTAGCTTCTACTTCTACCTTTATATATGCTGTCACATACCGATGCGTCAAATGTTCAGACTGTGATACTTTTTCATCCTTTTCTTTCGGTGGTCAAACACCGGAGAAAGCAGAAATTTTACGTAAGCCACACTGAAAACGTAAAGTAGCGCATATCATGTGCGCCACTGAAAACGTAAAATCAGCTTTTATAAGTTCCTAAGTTTCATTTATGAATATGGCAAATTTGAGAATGCGTCTTGCCAACAACATCTTCATGCAAATTTCATGGTGGTCGTCAAGATTTCACGCAGCGCCACAATATAACATTTTCGCCGGGTAGAGGCTCTTTTCCCTTTTGTGCGGGAAAAGAACAACATTTATTAATAAAAGCACACACTTTAAACACTGAAGCAACAACGATCATTATTGTTAACGGCCTGACTATTTTAAATTGAGCGCAGAAATGCGTTTATCGGAAGCCTGATAGCTTGTTATTTGGGTTATTTTTCGAAAGGCGTATTTATGGCAATATTTAGTGCTAGTGCAACAATGACAACTGCTTCTAAATTATGTGTTTTTGGCAGCTATCCAATGCGGAAAACGCATATTGACGAGAGGTTGTCTGTGTCTGTGTGTGTTTGTGTGCACGCTGCGTGTCTGTACTGATTTTTCATCTCGAGACCCACAGAAGCTACGGGAACGAAACTCGAGTAACTTAATCTCCATGCGTGTACGGGCCCCATCTCCGAAATAGGCGCTCTTACTCGCGTGGTACCCACGTACAGCCCCCGTACGGGCCCGCCAAAATTTTTTCCGGATAAGTTAACTCTGGAACCAGAGAAGCTAGAAGGCTGAAATTTTAAGGGGATGTTCCCCGTCCAAGTAGGTGAACCTAATTCGGACCTAGTCCTCGGGTACTCATGGTACCTATGTATGAGTCTGTGGAAGTTTTTTGCGGGTAAGTCGCTAACTCGGGAATTAGAAGTTAGAAGACTTTAAATCTAGGGAGATGTTCCCCGTCCAAGTAAGTCGCAATGAGCTGAAACCCAGACATCGGGTATGCCCAGACAACCCAGACATCGGGCCG